GAAGTAGGGGGCATTGCACAGGAGCTGGCCCCTCCTCGAGAGCCCAGCTCCAGAGGACCCTTCTCCCCCAGATTCTTACTGCTCTGGACCGAGATGTCTCTTGTCGGAAACATAAGTTGCGCCAGAAGCTGGAGCAGATCATCAGCCTCGTGTCCAGCAACAGCTAAAGGTGGTGGCATCGATGAGGAGGGGGCTTCTGAGTCCTCAGCCACGCTCCTGTCAAGGGGAGCGGCTGGCTCAAGCCTCGGCCGCTGGGCTGAGCCCTGGATTGGGTGTCGTGTGGGAGGTTTCCAGGACAAGATGCCCCAGCACACCTGGACCCCCTTCATTAGTGCCTTGCTTTGGGCCCTGCAGGGGGAGGAGGTGACAGGACCAAGCCCTCACCCCAGCAGCAGCAATACCCCCACCCTCCTGCCCTGTGCCCACGTGTTGGGATAGCCCTGCTCTCCTTGCTATTTATGCCCCCAACCGCCTATTTATTGAATTGAACTTGTTGGTCTCCATCTGTAAATATGTGTCTCCCCATGGGATGTTGCCATCCTCACTCACTTTCCTCTCCTGAGTTGTTCTGGGCCCTGCCACCTATTCTGGCTCCTTTGTAACATTACCAGCCTTGGCCCAGCCTCTGGCACTTCGCCCTTGCCATGGCTGGCCCCACCTGTTCCGAGACAGGGTTCTCAGTACCAGCAGCACTTGGAGGGAGGTGATGTACCCAAAGCTATTTTCAGACTGGCTCTGCCAGGTTGGGCCACAGTGTCCTCCTCAAATATCCTGTACGTCCTTACAGGGCCCTGTCCTCTCTGAGCACCTGGAAGGCTATAACCAGGCTTGAGCTGGGGCCCGACCTGGGGGCTCCGGAATGCTCCTTCGCCCCGCCCTACTGCCAAATTTCCTGTGTCGCCTGCACTTGCCCTGGACCCCCTCCTCCTCAGCTGCCCTGTCCTGCGCCCGCCCCGAGGGGCCGAGGCGGCAGTGCCTTACTGCTCCATGTTTTCTGCGTCCCCTGAGGAATCTGGCCCCGTCTCATGGTCCCAGACCTCAATTCTCTCTTCAGTTGCATGAGTTTCCCTTTGCTCCTGTAATGTGTTTTCCTAATTAAATGTTGGGAAACTGGAGTCGGCGTGTGGCTTTGTCTTCGGGACAGGTGGGCAGACCTGTCGGACCCTGGATGAGCTGGACTCCCGTTGCGTGAGAAAGGGTAACTCATCGCAGGGTTCCCGAGGATTTCAGAAGGTGCAGGACCACGTCCAGCCCATCAGCAGATCCTGGTGGCTCTACCTTCAAGACACGTTCAGAATCTGCTCCCTGCTCCTCACCTCCACCGCCCCCACCCAGATCTGAGGCGCCACCGTCTCTCACCTGGGTGCCGGTCTCCCTGCTTCTGCCCTGGCTCCCTCCAGCCTATTCTCAGCATTGGAGGCAGAGAGATCCTGTTAAGATACAAGGTGGATTGTATCTTGTCGCTACACTGTTTTTTAAAACCCTCCAGTGGCTTCAATTGCACCCAAACTCCTTAAAACCTGAACTTCTTTACTGTTCAGGTTGTAACTCCCATCATGGTGCATGTACCAAAGTCTCACCCCCCAATACCGGTAAAGTACTGCAGGTCGGGAGGTAAGGTGCAATTTGAAGTAGGGTGGCCAGGAAGCACTGCTGAAGGGGTAACATTTCAGTGAGCCAGGTGGAACACAGGGGAAGAGAGTTCCAGACAGGAAAAGCCAGTGCAAAGGCCTGAGGCAGGAGTGGGCCTGGTGTTTCAGAAAGGTGAGGGGTCTTGAGCCTGTGTAGCTGGATCAGGGTGAGTAAGGGGTAGAGGGAGAGTAGATGAGGCCAGAGAGGAAACAGGCCAGATCGCTTGCGGTTTGCAGGCCACTGTAAGGGCTTTGGCTTGGACTCTGAACAAGAGGGGAGCCTACTGGACAGTTTATAACAGAGGAACAACACAACCCAACTTGAATTTTAAAGCCACCAGCTTCAGCAGTCCATCCATAGAGCCAAGATGGCAGATTGTGGTGGTTACATGATGGTATGTGTTTGCCAAAACCCCTACACCTGTCTACCTAACAAAGGGTAAGTTTACAGTATATAAACTGTACCTCAATAATCCTGAGTTAAAAAACAACCCAATATACAAGTAAAGAAAAATAAGGAGTAAAAAGGAAGATGGGTGATGCTGGATTGGGATTCCAGTCAAGGACAAAGGGAAGTCCCAGGATGACAGCTGTGCAGTCAGTCGGCCTAGACATCACCAGTCCAACATAGGACAACAAGTGAGATGGTTTAAAATATTACCATTGTGAGATTACAGAAACTAAGCCAAACAAAAAGAAACCAGGCAATTTTTAATTGGGGGGAATCCCTCAGAAATGGATAGAATCTAATAGAACCACAAGAGAGTGAGGAGGGGAAGCAGACAGTGTTGTAAATTCTCAAGTATCCATCAATAAAGTCTAAAAAATATCAAGAAAGAAAGGAAAATAGAGAAAGGAAAGAGAGAGAAAAGAGGGAGGGAGGAAAGCAAGTAAGGTCCTTGCCACAGCCAATCAGATGTTGCATCAGCTGAGATTCAATCACCACTCTCATCTTCAGGATGGTCATCGAGACCACACCACCATCACCACGCACAGCATCCCTCTCCCTCCAGAGCTCTCCAAGTTCTGCAAAGGCAGACTCTGTCCAGGCATATGGAGTAACAGGGACTGAACTGACACCACCCCCAACACACACATACTTGCAATACCCCACAAAACCAGACAACAGATATGAACCACAGGTTTTGGAGATGCTGGCTACCAGGCAGTGAGGGAGCTGGGAAACAAATGAGGTAAGCCCTGCAACTGGCCCAGCTTCCTGCCTGGAGCCCGGTGGACACCCAGAATTTAGGAGATGGGTCAGAGTCCAGGCAGCTGCTGTTTGCAGGGCAGAGGATCAGAGAGAAGAGCTGCAGAGGGTCCTGCCTGATTAGCCAGCAGGCCACCGATGAGCAAGTGTGTGAGAGAACTACTCGAGGCCAGGAAAAGGACCCCTCAACCCCCGAGAAAATGAAAATGCTCAGCACTCAAGCATAATAGGGGCTGGCAGCTGTCCCCACCTGCGAGGGTGGAGAACCTCATCATTCATTCAGGAGGCATCAGCCAGGGCGCCCAGAAGGGTCTTGCCTCAGTAGTGTGGGAAAATTAATTCTACGCTACTAAGAGCTGTTCTGGTCCCACACAGTACATCTTCTAGACTCAAAAGTCTCAATCTGTTTCCAAGTAACTTAACAGCATCCCAAAACACAACTCATGGACATGTCTAGGAAAACAGAAATACCCAGCAGTCAAGGAAAAAAGCGCAACATCTCACATTCAATCGAAAACCACCAGGGATACACAGAAGCAGGAAAATGCAACCCGTTATGAGGAGAGAAATTAATCACTAGAAGGTATCCGGACTGGAAATGAAGAGACACAGCTGCCTTTATTCTGAGCAAACAATATCATCTATGCAGAAAATCCAATGGCATCTACAAAAGAGCTACGAGACTGATTTTAGCAAGGTTGCCAGACACAACGTATTTTATAAAGAGCTGACTCCTTCCCCTAAATGCTGTAGCCAATTGTTCCAGTACTTTTCTTCACAGGGCCAATAATCCACAAAATCGCTAATGTTTCTGGGTTGCCTGTTATTATCACATGCCCTAGGTTTTTTATTTTGACAGGAAACAGGCCCTGACAAAGATGTGGGAAACCAGCATTGTGCTGGGAGGACACACTTTTTGGAGAGCAAGAGCCTTAAATAAGTAAACAGCAAATATTTAACTCAGTAATTCTACCTCTTGGAATCACTCTTAAGGAAATAGTCATTCATACAAAGACTTAAATACAGTAATCCCACTGAATCAGTATCTGTAACAGAAAAAAATGGAAACAATTTATTTTTTATTTATTTTTGAGACAGAGTCTTGCTCTGTTGCCCGGGATAGAGTGCCGTGGCGTCAGCTCAGCTCACAGCAACCTCAGACTCCTGGGCTCAAGTGATCCTTCTGCCTCAGCCTCCCAAGTAGCTGGGACTACAGGCATGTGCCACCATGCCCAGCTAATTTTTATA